GGACGTGGCCAGCCGCGGGGGCGAGGAGCTGCTGTCAGCGCCGCGGCCACCGCCCCCTCGCTGGGGCCACGCCCACGGAGGCGGAGCCCCGAGAGGATGGAGGCGGGAGAGGAAAAAGGGGAAGGGCTAACCACCGCCCCTCACTAAAGCCACACCCCTCTGGGCGGACCCCCAGGAGAACGGAGGCGGGGAAAGGGAAGAGAGGAAAGTAGCTCGGCCTAGAGGGATAGGGCCGCAGAAATCATTTGGAGCGAGCAGCCAGGGTCTTGGCTGGCCAGGGTTTTGACTGGCACTCGAGAAGACAAGGCTCGGTGAAGATTTTGCTAATTCCCAGGAAGCCCGCGGGTTGCTAACCGGATCTTATGGTCCGGCTCGCGCTACGGTGTACACCTTCGCACGCCCACTTTCCTACTTCTCCGCCCTCTCAGTCTCAGCCGAAAGACTCAAAGACGTGCGGGGGTCGCCGGCAGTGAGCCTGTTCCAGAAATGCCCCTGGGTCATGCAGGTCCCACAATTAGCGTGTGAAGACTCGGAGAGCTACAAGAGCTCACCCTTGCCAAATAGTGGAACAAGAGTTGAACTTGGGAATATGGCTCTAAAAAAATATCACAACGACAACAGTCCCCGGAAGAGCGCTTTGGCAGCCCAGTTTGCTCACTTTCTGCAAGCAATTTTGTACAGTGCTTAACACCTCTCCACTCTGTGTCTTTCTGCTAACTCATTGTCTGAAAGTCAGTGTGCCTGCTCCATCTTTTCAATGTCTAGAAATAGTGACTATAGGATTAGAGCGTATTTAATATTAAATCCCACAAAACTGCATAGTCTGCAGTTCCTCATTTAAAAAAAAAACAAACATCATTTCTGTCTTCTCCACGGTTACTTCCCCATACGACACCCCAACATTTGCTGTGTCTTAGGTGCAAGAAAATTACTCTGTCCTGGATGTGTGTTGTAGGAATTTAGCAGAGTTGCTGTATCTGGGGTAGACGTTAGAATGAATAGTTGTTTCCTGGAAGTACTTTGGCCTTGAAGAATCATTATGGTAAACAGTAAAGGATCTTAGTGGCAAACAGGGATTGTTTTCTGCGGTTTGTAGAATTGGTTTTCTGAAGGGGTGTTGCAAAGGGTTTGCATGACTTTGGCCACAAACCCCCTCTGGCACACTTGAGGCCCTTGGATTACTTTGCACTGCAAACAATACATAATGTCATGAAGACGTGTGATACTCTCCTTTAGAGAGACATTTAGATTAGATTAGATTAGATTAGATTAGGGACCTTGGTATGAGAAAATACTTTACCCCAAAACAACCTTGTGTAACAATCAATAAATACACCATTTTATGACTGTTGGGGGGGTCAGTCCATCAGAGAGGCTGGACCTTTCTACTGCCACATAAGCTTTAAAGTATCATCTTGGAGTGCCTTCTTTCATCAACGAACTCATGCTACACAGAATAGCCTGACAGGAATTTGTTTGGGTGGAAGCCTCACGCCAGCTCCTGGCATCCATATACCTGAAGAGTCTGGAATGTTTGAGTTAAGACTTCACCCCAGCCACTGGCATCCATATATCCAGAGTCTGAAATGTATGGGTCCTGGAAGTTCCATCCCAAGTCCCCTCCCCTGGGAGTTGCCTCAGTCCAGACTCTACCTCCAAGAAAGCTCACCAAATAGTGCCCCCTCCCCAGAGATTGTCAAGACCACTCCTCCGGGGTATTTAAAGTGTCCCCCCACCTGAGAACAAACGCATGGTTTTCCAATCTTCCTTCCCCGGCTCCTCTCTGGGGAGCTGGAAAGTCATCCGGGAGCATTGGTATCCATTAAACCTGGACTTTTTCCTAATTCAGCTTGATTTGGTCTGATTCGGTCTGATTCAGTCTGATTCAGATTATTGCGTTGGCAGAGAGGCTTATCGGCCTGCAAAAACTTTTCAGTATGAAGTTTATAGATTATATAAAGGACATGTATGATGTGGGATTCCCCTCTGTATGTTGTGAATGTGTTTTGTTACCATTGGCTAATGAGTAAAGCTACTTTAGCCTATGGGAGGGCAGAAAAGAGAAAGGAGGGAATTCCAAGCAGAGATAGAGGGGAAAGCAGGCAGAGTCAAAGAGACGTCATGTAGCTGCTGAAGGAGGCAGAAGCCATGTAGTAGCTCAAGGAGCAAGAGGTAACAAACCACAAACATTGTGGTAAAATATAAATTAATACAAATGGGTTAATTTAAGATGAAAGAATTACTTAATAAGAAGCCTGAACTAATAGGCCAAACAGTATTGTAATTAATATAGTTTCTGTGTGATTATTTGGGTCTGGACAGCCAGGAAATGAAAGAACAGTCTCCATTTACACATATAGAGAGAATAACACTTCATAACTCCATACTGGTCATTCTTGGGTTTTGCAAAAACATAAAGAATGAAGATGGGGGGAGGGGGCATAGTCCAATTGGTAGAATGCTTCCCTAGTATGTCCAAAGCCCTGGGTTCCATCCCCAGAACCACAAAGAAGAAAACCCAAACATTGTGTTATTGTGTTGGCCAAAGTCTGTAATCTCAGCAATCTGCAGGTGGAGGTGGGAGCATGGGAGACCAGAAGTTTAAGGTCATCCTCCAATACATGCCAGCGCCTATCTCAAAACAAAGAAATAAATACCACCCCCAAACACACACACACACACACACACACACAATTAGATGAGTGATGAGCATGCTTTAGGTAAGCTGTTATTCTGTATCCAACAACCTGTGAAGTTCACAAAGGGAAACAGTGTCCACCTGAAAACAGGTGCTTTTGACTAGAGGAAGAGAAACAGTTTGTCAAGTACCCTGATGATACAGTAGAAATGGTGGTTCCCTCTTGGGGTTCTTAGTCTTGTTTATAAAGGAATTTAAGAATAGACTAAAGTGGAAACTCAAAGATAATTTTATTAGAGTCTAAAAGAAAAAAAAAACCTCCAGGGCAGACCAACTGTTCATCTCAGCAGCTGTCTGCAGGAGGAGAATGGAGAAGAGGAAGAAAAAAATCCATGCTGTTGGCTTACTTAGCATGGAGGTCAGCTGGGTGGCAGCAGTCAGCCACATGGTGGGAAGGGAAACCTTAGAGAAGAGAGAAAAGCAGCACCAAGTACCCGGGAAAGCATCCTTAGTTTCTAGCAAGCATCAAAGGAGGGAGGGAGGAAAACGTTAAAAGCTGTGCCTTTCTGACTCCAGCCTCAGAAAGATGAGCAGACCCAGTAGAACCTCATGGTGACCTGGAAGGACTGTGTTGGGGAGGAAGAATTCTGGGAAAGAACAGCACAGTATCTCATTAAAGGAAAGTCATTACCTCTATCTCTTTAGCATAGCATAAGGTGACTCCACTTTCCTAGGAATTCTAAGTGATCAAACCTGCCCAACTGGAATGTTAGATCTCCACCTAAGCCAGAGATTCTATTGCCCTATCCAGATTGAGTTTTTTTTTTCTTAATGGGCTTTTACTGTGATTCTAACATTAAGTCTTTTATTGGAACAGACCCTGTAAAGAAAGACAGATGAACAGAGAAAGATATTTTTTCATATATTTGTGGCATATAGCCAGAGAATATTAATTCTCAAAAAGTGGCCTTGATCCAGCATAGAGCATCTTCAGCATAGGACAGTGAACCGACTGTTTGGAGAAGTGACAGGTCACTAAGTGAAGGTATCCTTTATCAGAGGACCTGTTGTCATAGCTGCTCCTCTGTCTACTGCTTCTTTCAGGGCCCTGCAGCTCAAAATAATATACCTGCCAAAGGGGGCATATTTGGGGCAGAATGTTCAGGTGCCCTTCAACACCATACCCTCAAATGTGAGAGGCTGTTGTATGAAAGGATTAGGTTTGTTCTGGGTGGCTCCAGAGCAGTTGGAAACTACAGAGTAACAGATCTGATTCAACATGGAAAACTATTGCTGGTTACAACCATTTCACTGAGATGAGCATCATAGAGGGGGAACTCTTGACAGTAACCTGTAGGGAAGAGTCTAGAAAACAGCTCTAGAAGGATGACCTGCCATCCAGCTCCCAAATAATGACATGGAGACTTATTATTCATTATGAAAGCTTGGCATTAGCGTAGGCTTGGTTTTAACTAGC